TGATTGGCCATAAAACCATTTTACATGAGCATATGTAAACACGGTTTTCGTTCCTCTTTTATTGGCTATTTTATAAAAGAAATGTAAAATGGTTTCCGTGTTTACATAGCCTGATGTAAACACTTGGGAGGTTTGTAGAACACTCGATAAGCTGGAAACCACTCCGCTTCTCGTCGTGGTTTCCTACGCTTATCTCGTGTTCTCCCAACCTCCCGCGTGTTTACATCAGGCTATGTAAACACGGAAACCATTTTACATTTCTTCAATGATAATCACTGAGAGGATGACTCACTGGAATTAGTTTAGTAATGGCCAAGCACTCAACCCTCTATAGTGAATGTCTTTTTCGAGGAAACTTATGTCCAGTTGTATAAAGAGCGGATAACGCTATCCAACAGATAAGTAATAGCAAAACGTGTAGTGTTACCCACCGGATAAAGATTTATCCAGTGGATAGCGCTATCCGATCTTCGAACAACCTGGGCCTGATTAAAATACTAGCCAATCAAGGACGTTATTTAAGCATATTAACCGAAAACTAGACTCATCATAATGATTGCCTTTTTTCCGAGAAAACCTGATTGAAATGTTAGCCAATCACTTGATTTATCCATAACCAAATACCAGACCATTTACGATGATTGCCTTTTTCCGGGAAAATTCGGTTGAAATATTGGCCAATCACTGGACTTTATTTAACAAAAGGCGAGCACGGAGGCTTATAAAGTGGTTGTCTTTCCGAGAAACTCGACTTGTTTACTTGCCAACAGACGTTATTGTGAATATATCAAACTCTTCTAACTTGTAAAGATAGTTACCGAACTTAGAAAATGGCTTCTTACATGGATGAACCGAGTACGAAGAAGCAGCGTTTGAATCCAGAAGAGTCACAGCTCGAAGGTCAGTCACACTCCAGAAATATTACGCTAGACATGGCAAAATATGACGAGTGGGTTCGTAAACTGTCAGATGAAGAACTTGTGAACATATTTGGGCTGGGAGTCGCAGTGAAAGAATCCGTTACCCTCACAGTGGATGTTAATCAAAAGTTTATGAAGGAGACGCTGTCTTCTCAGATGGAACCGATCCAACAACGCGTTTCCGACATCGAGAAAGAAATAAAGGCCCAGGTGGAAACTGTGAAAGATAACGTCAGCAAAGATGTGAAAGCACTGACAGGCGATTTGAAAACGGATATACACAATGCACTCGCTCCGAAGATAAAAGAAATTACAGGCACAATGAACAACGTTGAAAAGAATGTAAATGATCAAGTGCTGAAGGTGCAAAAGGAATTAACAACTAAAGTCTGTGACGGCATTAAGGGAATGACGAGCAATGTGCTTAGTTTCAAAACCGACTTAAGCAAAGACATTGAGAAAATCGGAGAAACATTAAAGACAGACGTAAAAGACATTGCCGCAAAAGTTCCTGCACTCAACACATTAGAAACGAGGATCAGGGAGTCTGAAACCCGTATCACTAAATCATTGGAAAAGCATGGAGAAAAACTGGATTTGATATCAACCGCTTTACAAAATCCTCAGAAGAAAGGAGCTCGGGCTGAGAGAGACGTACTTGAGATTCTCAACCAAAAACTTCGCAGAAGTAACTTCACCTTCAGAGACATTACCCGTGAGAATGGGAAAGGAGATATAGAGGCAGATACCCCTGATGGTCACAAAATCATGATTGAAATAAAAAGCTGGGAGAAATCTTTGAGTAAAGATGCGATTGAAGCGTTTGAGGGAAACCTTGCGAAGGTTCCTCATTTTAGAGTTGGCATCTTACTTTCGATGAGGAGTAGCATCGCCAACCGATCTAAAGGAAGCGAATTTGAAGTTTTGTTTAATGATGATCGAAAGCAATATATGATCTACGTTCCAAATGCCCTTTACCAGGAGTATGTGATTGTGTGGAGTGTTTTGATGGCCAGTCAATTGGCAAACCTGCAGGTTGGAGAGCTGGGAGAAAAGAAGACCCAAGGCCTGCGGAAGGTCTACGAGGAGTTTCAAAAAAATGCTCAGTGCAGTAAGGAAAGCAGAGCAAACCTTCAGGCTCTAAAGGCGTTAGTACAGCAGCTGGAAAAAAACGTTGTTCCCATCCTCGATACTGTCGACAAAGCGACAAAAGATCTCAACAAACTGTTAAATTGAAATCAGTAGCTTAAATATCTTCTAATTTAGACACTGTCAATTAGAGAACTAACTGCGAATCATCGTAATATCTTATTTTTTTTTATAAAATCTTTCATAATATCTAGAACTTCAGCTAAAAAGATTACTCAGGCAACGAAAGTTATTATCTCAGCTAAGAGAGTTAAGAAGTTTCAAGATGTTTACTAGCATCAAGACTTACTAGGTGTTCTGATCCTTCGAACCCTGATCCATTGGCTCGCTCCCCACAACAAACGAGACGTAGGTCCCCCATCAGCAGTGTAACCAGATTTGTTCAAGGTAAAATTTCGTGGTGAAACGAGAAAGCGTTTTCACCGGCGAGCACGACAATTACAATTCCTGACAATAGCATAGAAAATCAACACCCTAATACCTTTCGATGAAATACAATGCTTAACTGTGTTTGTGAAGCTAGACGCGTGACACGTGTGACAGAACACTAGGGTTGAGGGACATAGAGGCTTACATATTTCTGGTGGACGATCGTAGCTCTGGGAGTTATTTAACGCGGAAGAGGTACCAATCACGATCATCAGGGCAGCCGGAGTGCAGAGTCATTACTTTGTCTCGTCAACCCTGAAAGCTCTGTTGCACCATTCACAACACTATTTCGGTCGAGTAATTTCTGTGATATTGAACACCAAACTTCTGTAATACCGTTAACAGGAAGATTAATTAGAAATTGGGCGAGTAGAGAAATCAAAAGAGGCCATACAATCCGTTTAACATGAAAAAGCCTGCCACTGCACTTTTAGTTTACAGTTTGAGTGATTTACCTAGTATCAGTACTTGTGTTTCGGCAGTGTACCAGACGCTGCTGTTAGTGAACACATTCAACGATATTCAGTGAGGCTGAAGCGAAGAGCTGTTTTAATTTTTTATTGTCGTTTACTAGAGCCACAAGGTAAATTTTACTATGTTTATTTGCTTTCAAACTTGCCATGCATCATCTAGCTTAATATCGTACACTTTGATGTCTTGATGTTTACACGGGTCGTTCATCCAGAAATGAGTTTGAGATAGCAGTTACTGTTGTACTCCATTGAAACTTAAGTTACTCTGGAGACCCACGCTTTTGACTAGTGTAGTTTTTTTCTTCTGTCTCTTAGCCTTCCGTAAAGAAGATGCAGAGCGGTCCGCGATTTCAAGTAAGTCGTTTACTGTACAACTTGTTCTTTCATTTTAGCTTCACCGATTAAAATGATTTTGAAATCGTGCCCTCTGAATCTTGATTGGATGTATTTTGGATAAAATGGTTAAAATCTTGATGATATTTACGTTCTATGAGAGTGAGTATTGCACCAGTCACCATAAAAAACACCGAGAGGTGATTCTAGATGTCCTCCAAGCAAATGCCTGACGGACTGTACCCTTCTTTGGCGTACTTGTGTCGATATGGTAAATGTAAATAAAGCAGCAGGAGAATGTTGTAAAGTAACTCAGGCCATCGAAATTTAGCAGCAAATGTGCGTAATAGCTGGAGTATTCTCTGATCCCCAATGCAAAAGGAATACCCTGTAATATTTTGCGATAAGATACCTATCTTATCGCAAAATATCAAACTAGTAAGGCAATGTTAACTAGCATCAAAAGAAGTGCATCTTTTTGGAAATAGTGCAAAATTTGGTGAACCCAGACTTTTGCATGAGAGTGTGAAGAAAGTCAGATTCAATGAAAAGAAGGATACACAGCTGGCGCAAGAAGTAGTCGGGAACTGGAGAGTTTAAATTTTAGCATGATCTTTGGAGTACTCCCTTACTAACGCCCTTCACTTCGAATTTAATTCAACGTTTCCTCGGGCTTCCGCCCTTCGTTTACCGGCCTGGCAGTAATTAAGGGGTATAGGACTGAAATATTATGGGTCACCAATCAAAACTTAAAGAAGCCTATGTGGCCCTGTATTCTTAAGTAGTGCAACATTTTGTCTTTTGTTTGTTTTTTTGTTTTGTTTGTTTGTTTGTTTGTTTGTTTTAATCAAACGCCCCGCTTTTGCTTAATCCGTAACAAGTGGGTAGCCAAAATGGTTCTCAGTTGCTGCTATCTCGGTGTTGAAATGTTCTTTGTTATTCACCTCCGAAGTGGCCAATCAGTGAGCTTGGAAATTGCTCCGTGCACTCGTGTGCTCTTGCGTAGTGAAAACAATGTCATGGTGTTATTTTACACTTAAAGTTTCATGACACAATTGAGACGAAAGTACAATTTTCTTTATTTCATCACCGAACTAAAAAATTACCATCCCTCTTGGTGTGTTAACGCATAACTGATCCTTGCTGGACGAATGTCACATATGAACCTCATTGTGGCATGGCTTACTTTAGAGAGTCTCTGAAGCTCAAAGATAGAGTAAAGAATGTCTTGCGTTTAACCCTTTACAACCTAACATCAGTGTTCATATTCTCCATACTGTTCTCTGTACATTAACTACGGTGCTGACAAGGAGAATTCGTCTTACAATGAAGAATTTCACTAGTCTGTGATCATTTCCTTTATTCTCGTGACATTAATGTGTAATTCAGTAGTGGATGTAATGCTAATCGATTGGATTCCCGGTACAGTAAACATAGCGTGATCTCATATCTCAGTGGAAAACCACATTATGACGTGCTTACGTAAGCGGTCTGAGCTTTCTATGGTCGGTTATTTTCCATACGACATTGTGGATAATGGAAGTTTTACTTGGATTTAAATGCTCATCTTTGAGTCCAACGTGTTTTGATGATCTCGAAACTCCGTTGAATTTCACGTTAAATATTTCTTTGCTCATCACTTGTTCCTGAGACTCAGTACTTTTACTGTTCTGTATCAAGTATTTTTCCAGAGGCCTGGGTATGAGTGTATGTCTCGCGGATAAAATGAATGTGTCGGCCGAAAGTTATATCACTTCACCGTCGCTTTTCAACTTCTCTTGTACGCCAGCAGATAATCAGTAGTAAATCTAAACGATATTTATCCACAATGGTAATTCAGCAAGCGAAACAAGTGTGGAAAAAGGCGGACGCTGTCTGTTTTGACGTGGATAGTACAGTCATAACGGACGAGGGCATCGATGAACTTGCCGCATTTTGCGGAAAAGGGAAAGAAGTATCACAATGGTACGTTGTCATGCAATTATTTCAATTTATCAGAACTTCTCTTCGATAGTATACCGTTTATAGGAAAGTATTTGGTCCCTTAATATCCCGGTAAGGTCTACTTTTAATCGGGATGATGTAACAAAACAGTATTTACATAAATCGTTATCTAGCCGCCAGCGAGAAATAGGAGCGCCTAAATGTTTCTTTCGCCCCAAAATTTTAGTCTTTTAAAGGTGTTTAAGGTGAAATGCTAGTGTAAGATCCTTAAATTTAATCAGAAACGTCTCTGTGTGGGTGATTCGGGAATAAACTTTTAACGTTGTATTATCAACTGGAGATTCATCCATCTTCCATACTAAGTTAATCGATGGGGTCCACCTACGGAAACATGTGAAAAGAAGGCTAAGTTTGATTAAGTATGGCTTAAAATCGATCGTTCTCTTAATTTCGGTGTAGAGAAAAAAATGACTCGTTTATTCGGTGAGGTCTATTTCGGCTCCATCCCACGGCTGGGCAAACCCAGCACGCTTTGTTCACGTGAGACTGTCACACGAGGAAACGTAACACTGTGTTACTTTATCACGTTGCTACCGACCTTTGGACATTGTGACAGAAACTCGTACCAGGCCACTCGTTCCACAAATGGAAAAGCCTTTCCTAAAGACACCTCAGGTAATTTTTTGGTTAGTAAAAATATCCCAGTTTTGAGAAAATATATCTACATGAGGATATTTTGAATAGATGCAAGGCTTTCTTGGCTGAATTCTGTGTTTTCCATAGTGTTCTATTGGAACAATATTCACCTGTTGGCAAGAAGTCATCTATCAACCAATCAAGTTTTTTGGGGAGAAAACATCTTAAATGTGCATCCATGTTGTCTCGTTTTTGTTACTGTTAGTATTTCCACTACACATGAAAACATGAAATTTTTTCATTTGTGATTGACAATTTTGGAATAGTTATGCAAATGATGTGTTATTCAGGCATTTTCAGATGTATTTAAAATTTTTTGTGATATTGGAAACCAAGTGATAATTTTTGTTATTAAGTTATGCAAGGTAAGGTATTTGTCATTTTGGAAAGACCTAGAACTGGCAATTTTGGAATATTTTTTCAGGGAGATGTGACAGTGAACTATTTTTGATGTTAATAGTTCGAGTCTTAATCTTTGATCAGCAAACAACAAGATAACTCTACCATTGTATGCATTTGTTGAAGGGACTATAATCACATTCATTTGTGACCCTTGCATCAATCATATGTTTTCTATGTTTTGTGAATATGCTGAGGTATTTAAGCTCTAAACTTCCCCTTCGATGAAAATTGTGTTATGACCTATTAATTTAAATGCCAACAAATGAAAAAGCTTGCTCTAAAAATCCTATTTTCATGAATTTATTGGAAATGTCTCGTTTTCAATTAAAATGTGGCATAAACCCTCAGTAGCTTGTTTCTCACCCTACATGTTCATGGCTTTTTTTTATGCATTCATTGGTGTATTGCTTGTTCAGTGTCTTGAACCTTTTTGCAGGTTCATGGTTTTCACTTTTGAAGGTAACAGATTTCTGATTCACGATTTCAATGTTAATCCCTTTGCAGGACTACTAGAGCAATGGGAGGGGGTATTCCATTCAGAACAGCACTTAGGGAGAGACTGGGAATTATTAATGCATCAAGAGAGAAGGTTTGTTCAACGTGTTAAGTTATGGAAAAAGAAAGCAAGAGATTATCACTTTTCCATATGAACTTCAAAGAGGTTCTTGTACACTTTTCCATTTCTCATTTCACTTAATTTTAAGAATTTTTTATTTATATTCTGTGGTAATCTTGACCAGTGTAAACCGTCATCATTCCTATTTGGTGTCTGTTTTCCCTATCCAAGTAATTTCTGTGGTTAATTGCTGGGTTTTTTTTGTGATTTTCCATGATACCATTAGTGGCTGTGGAAAATGTGAAGAAGCTCCTTCTTATGTCTGTATTATAAACCTTGAAATACAAGATTGATCTTACATGGCTATTTTTTTCTTTTTTTGTTTTGTTTTTTTCCAGCTTCATGAGTTCATAGAGAGAAATCCTGTCCATCTCACACCAGGAATAAGGTATATTTAAGAAGTTTTTTACTAGGACAGTTTTGACTAAGCATATTGATTCCTCACCCATAAATGTAGGTGCCTCTTTGTTTGGAGCACTAATGATGATGTGAATGTTTTGTTGAATCTTTGATTTTATTTGAGACTTATTGTATGTAAAGTTAACTATATGATTATGATTTAATTTTAGAGAGCTAGTGAATAGGCTTCAGGAACAGGGTACTGCAGTTTACCTTGTATCTGGTGGATTTAGAAGAGTTATCCAGCGTGCTGCAGAACAACTTGATATACCAGATGAAAATATATTTGCCAATAGACTGCAGTTTGATGATGAAGGTACTGTTTGGTTCTTTATTTTTTCTTTTTGTTTTTTCTTAAGTTCAGTATTAATTGGTGATCTTACCCTGCTCGTGGCTAAATATTGGAAAATATTATTTAGACACCTCTTAATTCCAGCATAGAAGTTAAATGTAACATTACAATTGACATCTATATCAGCCTGCTAACCCATGTATCATAGGCTACTTTTCCTTCCCTCCATTCCCCCTTCCCAGCATATGGTTAAGTTTTCTTGAATATTAGTTAGCTAGTACTCAATTGTACTCTTATGACCCATATGTAGCAAAGTAGTCTCAACAATGATTGTAACTTTTCTGGTGATAAAAATGATATATGGTTTATTTAGGTAAATGAAAGTGTAATGAGCTGTGGTCAGATTTGGTGGCTTATGTCTTAGAAATACAAAGAGTCCCCAGAAATCTGCAAGTGAAAGGGTTAAAGGGGTTACTTAAGGTACAATATCTTGGTGTTTTCTTTGATTTAAAGAATCTGGATTTCTTCTTACTAGGGCATTACAACGGCTTTGATGAAAATGAGCCCACCTCAGATTCTGGAGGGAAGACCAGAGTTCTAAAGCTTTTGAAAGAAAAGTATGGATACAAAAGGTAAATACAGTATGCTTGAATGATACAGCTGTTGGTCCTAGTGTGCAAAAGGGTAGAAACTTCTTCAAAAGCAATTGCATTGGAGGCCAGAGTGGGAATAAAAATTAATTGTGGTACTTTTCAAAAGTTTGAGCTTAGTTTGGGAGTGAAGACAGTGAATGGGAAAGTTGCTATGCTTGTACATTAGTTGTAGATGATGTGACATGTACTTCATGCAAACTCCTTGTTCCATGGAGGACTTGATACATTGTCAGTTAACTTAACCTTAAACATAGGCAACTTTTTCGCAAGTCAGTGAGAAACAGTATCAGAACAAATCAGTTGTATTTTTTTTGTCTCTAACATTTCCTCTCGTCAAACTTTGATCTGTTGGCTTTCAGTTTGGTTATGATTGGTGATGGGGCTACAGACCTAGAGACATTTCCATCTGCAGCTGTGAGTACCAGTTTGTTGTTGTTATTGTTTTTACATGATATATTATTATTTTTCAAGTGAATAGTTAAGTAAGATTAAGACTCTGGTTGTTTGCAAGCTGGTATGTAGTGTTATCAATGGGACAAATTGCCTTCTGCTCCTTGAGAATTGGTTAAACATGGGGAATGGAGAACTGAATCACTGAAATAAGTGAATCATATCAATATTGACCATTTGAACTACTAAGATGAGGCAAATAATGAAGATTTGGTTTATTTTTGTAATGCATGGTAGAGAGACATGATAACTTGAGTAGAGGATGTTCATGGTTTATTTTAAAATTACAGTCATGTAGTGCTGATATTTATTCAACTTGTTAAACTTTTCAGGACACATTTATTGGCTTTGGTGGTAATGTTGTGAGAGAAAAGGTGAAGGCACATGCTCCATGGTATGTGACTGACTTTAAAGAGCTTTTAAAAGAGCTAAACCCATCCTCTCAAAATGGAGCAACTGAAAATGGAGCATCAGAACATCTAATGAATGGATTGAATGGAGCAAGTGAACATGTAATCTCTGGAGTAAATAGCAAACACTACATTTGAAGGAAGCAATGCAATGAACAGATCTGTCAGGACACAGGATTAATTTTCATTTGAGAGACATTTTAATTATATACCACAATCCATTGCATCATCCATTGTGTGCTGACTTTTACATATCAATGATATAAATAATTATTTATTGACAGTACAAAATAAATGAATCTCATGAGAGAGTTTTAAATCAAAGAAATTATTTTCGATTGACAACAGTGTTCAAAAATTTTCAGTAGACATTGTGGCCTCAAGATTATGGCTGTACAGTCAACTAACCCAGGAAATCTTTTTATAATTTGAGGTTTCTTCAGAACACTAGAGTTATGGTCTTACCACTTCTGTTGAACATGAACTGTTTTTTCCTACACAGCGTTGCAAAATATAACTCGATGTCTCTACTAATGTTATGCTATTTTCAAGTGGTACAGTATTTCTTGGCAAATGTAAAGCTGTTTCTTTTTAAAGCTAATATATCTCTTTTGTAAATGTTGTGATCTGCTTGTTATTCGAGATTGAGAGTGACATAAACAAAAACAACTTTGATATTAATCATTTTAGCAACTTTGCACGCACAGTGCATGTCCTCAGATAAAAGCAATAGCTTTGGGTACATTAGGAACATGTTTGATAAATTCCTAGTTGGGTATTCTTTGTCATATCTGATTGATGGAGATGGATGGTTGGGGTCAAACCACTTGTTGAAACTTTGAACTGTGGTTTCGCGGTTGTCTGCTGTGAAATAACTTATGATCCTTGCAGTCAGATTGGTTCTCACGGGTGCAAGCCAAATCACACCATTTTTGCTCTAAATAGCATCTTTACCCAGCCAACGAGATGGCTTTACTAAAACAACCGATCAAATTTAAAGGGTTGTTTAAAGAAATCAATCAAATTGCAGGAAAATGAGGGCAACTTTTAAAACTTTTCACCAACTAGCTAAATATACTAGGTCAATAGGATATTTGTGCGGACTTGTATTGCGTGCAACTGAATTTTGGAAAGTAGTGTTAGAACTCGTTATCCCAGATTAAGAAAAGGCCTGAAACAATATTGGTTTGAGAACTTTCATTTTTCCAGTGTTAAGCAATGAAGAAAATATTTACATGGCATGCTTCTTGAGCTTGAAACAACTAGGGCCAGTTATTTTAACGAAGTTTATCTGTTGTTAAACAAAAACGCGTTCTAAATTACCTTCAATTTTGTCGAACCTTTCATCTGAACATTTATTTTTGAGAACAGTGTAGAGAGGGCCGAAAGCTAACAGTAGAGATAACATTTATTTGATTATATAAACCCTCTCGCAAAGAATACCAGAAGCCTACTGCTTCTGTAAGACCGCGATTTGGGTTAGACCTTGTGTAAATAACCGGCCTCTTCAGTTTTTGAAAACGTGATCAATTTTATTCAAAGCTCGAGTGGAGAAAATTTCACCATGACAGGTTCAAAGTCCCAGGCGTCAGGATGTCCCATAGGCCTTTTCCAGCCCGACGTGCTCCATTTAAAGATAGGCTGCTGGTCATGTGTGGGACCGCTGACCGCCATACACGACAGTGATTTGTTGAATAGGTCATAACTGGTCACCTAAATCGGCAAAGGGAACCTAATATGGATTCACGTCTTGGATTTGTATGAAAAGTTGCACCGTAAATTTTGTTTGATCGGAGGCTCATTTTTTCCTTTTAACGGTAAATACAGCGCACAGCGAAGGGAATTTTGTAATTTGGAGCATAGTCCTCTACTAACTATGTTTGGAGGTTCAATCCGGCTTCTTGGAACAGCTATCTGGGAACAATGAAAACTGAGATGTGGAAAAACTTGAGGGTGAATATAACGGGTACATAGATGGATATTTAATGATAAGAATGGAGTAGAGAGAGAAATTTATATTGTATTTTCTTTGGGAAATACACCGGTAACATTTTCTCTTTCTTCCGAGAGAACTCCTAAGCAAGGGGAGACCTGATCTTACCTTGCAGTCTGTGCCTCCATGGTTTCTGTGGCCTAAAAAACTGAAAGGATAGGAGCCATTTGCAGGATTGAGGTCGGAGCGGGCTGATATAGCATTCTCAGCACTGTACGGAGGTGAACAGGAGCACTTGGACAGATTGTCGTATTTGTAATCGTTATATCTGGAATAATGATCCGGATCGTTAAAAAAACGTTCATTACTTATATTAAAGCTGCGCAACCTCTTTTTCGGGCGGGAGAGGAGCTAAGGAGCAAAATTGTGACTTAAATTGATTTAAAATCACAGAATGCATCAGCTTAATCGTTTCACTCATTACTATCTCCTATACAATTCTTAGAACCAATAAGCAGTAAGCTTTTTAGCAATAACCCTTTTTAAGATATTGATTCTTATGACGTTAGTTCGGTGAACTAAGTATTGGTGAAAAGGTAAAAAACGAGTCGTTTCGCTAACGACCAGTTCATTAACGTCTTATATCGTTTCGCCAACGTCTCAGGTCAGTCCCATCCCATAAGTTATCTCGCTAACGCACAACAAAACATTTAGTGATTCCATCAGCAGAAATTGATCGCCTTCTAATCGACCGTCGATTCGATATATGCAAGGTCGAATTGATACGACTCAAGTCACTGGAATACAAAGAAAAAAAAAGTAAAGCCCTTATACAGGCCTAAGTGGCCCGCGCTTAAGTCCGGTTTCATTAGCATGAAGCGGCTAGGAGTGTTGTTACTCCCCCCTGGATGGGATGCTAGTCCATCGCAGGGTTACCCCCAGCAAATTTGCTGGAATCCATTTGTACACCTGGGTGAAGAGAAGCACTGTGAGAGTAAAGTGTCTTGCCTAAGAACACAACATAATGACCCCGGCCAGGGCTCGAACCCGGACTACTCGATCCGGAGTCGAGCGCACTAACCATGAAGCAACCGCGCCTCTACACAAAATTAAAAGTTAAGGTTTAATTTGGAGGTTTCATTCGTCTATGGTGCAATAAACCAACAGCAAAACATTTCATTTGTCGCACCTTCGAAGAAAACAAAACTAAGAAGAGACGTTGGTGAAATAATTTAAAATGTTAGCGAACTGACCTGAGACGTTGGCGAAACGACCTAAGATGTTAGCGAACTGGTCGTTAGCAAAACGACTCGAAGGCGAAACGACCATTTACAGGCATACCTCATTAACGTTATGAAGCCACTCAAGTCGTTCACTTTTCCTTGGTCCCTTTTGAAGATTTGAGCTCGTGGGTTCAAATGATAATCAAACCATGGACCGTATTTCTTGACATTCTCTGGTTGGCCACTTAAGTTGTAGATTTCAGGGAAGTATCTATGAAGGAAACAAAACGGATTTCACTGGGAACCAAAACATCTACTTTTATGTTTCTGTCTGGGGGAGGGGGGTGGGGGTACCAGTCAAAGGGTAAATCATACTAACGGAAGATTGTAGCTTGCCCAGTATCGCTCGTTGTCGAGGATTTCGGACATGTCCGCCATGATAACAGTTCCTGGTAGTTGCTCAAGAACCCAGAATGTATCGGGCGCAAGCGGTTGATTCGGGACAAACTGCTTATAGTTCACGACCATCCACTGGAAGAAAAACCAACGAACAAAAGGAAACAGAAAAAAAATTCGTATAAGTACAAGAGAGTGACACCAAAACAGTTTAGGAACAAGCTCAGTGGAACTAGTCCCAGCAAGAGAATATAGCTTTTTTCTCTTAATCCTAGTTGGAGTTTTTGAGCACAAGACTTCAAACAGATAAATAGTTTTCATCTCACACGTTTTAACCACGGGTTAAACTATGTAGGGTCAACTGAATTACACCAAAAATGCTCGTAGAATTGACCCCCTGACTTCAAATACTGTATATCTATGTCAAGTTCAATGTAGGGTTCAATTCATCAGTAGACTGATATCACATGGATCAAGAAGCAACGCAAGATTTTATTAGGCGTTTTTCTTTGGTGTAGCAGCGTCTTATGTATACCTTAGTGACATTAGTTAACCCTTAACTCTCGTGAGTGACCAAGACAGAATTTCTCCCTACAATATCCGTAAAAATTTCAAGCAGACAAGTGATGAGAATAAAAAGAGAAATATCAATTAGTGTATTATCGGTTAATCCAGTAACAAATTCTCAGAACTAAAACCATAGGAATTGAACAGCAGTCAGTAAGGAGAATTACTAATGAGATGTGTCAAACTCGTGAAGTTTTTCTTAAAATCTTACCTGGTTATTGTAGCTGAGAGGTCGCGTGTATTTCCGGTAGAAAATAACCAATGGGGAAGATGAAGGTAAAGAAAGCAGCATAATTAACCTTAAAATATTTTTCATAGCAAGAACTACTGCAGCCAGCTGTCAGCCTTATCTTTTCCTACCGTTTTTAATGAGCAGATCTAATGCAATAAAATGAAGCTCAAGAAAAGTGTTAAGAATCCAAAGCTGCTTTTAGTGAATGGTAATCACGTGTGAAGTCTTGGAGAGGGGACATCCTGAGGAAATATTGTAGCAAATGACAGAGGCGCTTGTCCTCTCGCTGCGAGTTGAAAAATATGAGTGTTTGGGACGAAACTGATTGTTGGCGAGGAATTTGGTAGGCTTGCACATACAGATAATTAAAATCTGCATACATCCCCATCATTTTTAGAGGAGTTCACAAGGGAGACGGACAAAGCCTTTTTCCACAGATATCTTCTCAGAAAATAGACCACAAATGTTTAATCGTAAAATTAAGTGCAGCGAGAGTTTAGCATTAAAGTGTGTTTATTGCAGGATTTGATTGGAATTTGGAAGGAGAAAAGCTTGGGTGAGGTAGAGAACTAACTTAGAGGAAAAATGGCTGAACGTACATGTAAAGCTAGATCCGGGAATTTCTAATTCCTAACCCTAACCCTAACCCTAAACCCTAACCCTAACCCTTAACCCTAACCCTAACCCTAACCCTAACCCTAACCCTAACCCTAACCCTAACCCTAACCCTAACCCTAACCCTAACCCTAACCCTAACCCTAACCCTAACCCTAACCCTAACCCTAACCCTAACCCTAACCCTAAGAGAGAGAGAGAGAGAGAGAGAGAGAGAGAGAGAGAGAGAGATGAGGCGGGAAGGGGGCTCATTATGGTGACACCCTTCTTTCCCCACATGACTTGTCATGAAAGTGCTACAGCGCATAGTCAAAACCTACGTTCCACTATTATACTTGGAAAAAATCTCGACCCATTCCCGCGCCGTATTGGCAAGGCGATTAGCCACCAGGTTCCTGATCCATTCTAAAACAGTGCCAACAGGTTGAACGTATTTCCACAAAGCTGGGTTATCGTTGTCTATGGTCGTCTCTTGTACTAACTAAATTTAAAGAACAGACAATGATAAGTATGATGATGATGAAAATAATCATTGTAATGATAGTTATAGTAAAAAAGGAAACAGTGTCAGCAATTTTGGACACAGAATAATGAGGTCTGACTTCTCTCATGAGGAAGGCTTCTTATTGTCAAACACAAACTAATTAATACTAATTACCAATCCACTGTTGATCATGTAGAAGTCATCTCCACTCAGGAGCCGTCCTGGGTATGAAGAAAAGCATTGCTTTTTTCCTGGTACAATGGCAGGGATATCGGAATCTAGAAAGATCAAGGGTGAAAAATTGTATCAGGCCACAGTGCATTAGGGTCTATCACCGGGGAGGGGGGACCTCTGAGACCAAGTGATTAATAATGACCAGTCCCTTCTATATCTATCTCTCTATCCAGGCTAGTGCATTGTATCAGGACAAAAAACGACATCGCTCGTCGAGGCTTAAATACAGGTGAAGCGGGATGAGGAGGTAGTCTGCTCCAGACTAACAGAATAACAAACCAAGGATGAGTAGACATAGCGTGTGGTTGGAGTTTTCATTGACCCTCTGAGGTCCTCTGAGTATTTGCTTTTGTGAAGCTTGTTCATTTGTTCTATTCTGTTTAAGTTATGAAGAACAGTCTATTTTCCCACCTACCATGTCCTCACTTCTCCTCAGGCATATATCGCACACTTTCTATCATTATTAGCATAGCAAGTAAACCTAGTCGACCTAGGTATGAAGCATTCAACAAGTTCTTGTGGCGAATACCTGTGATGCTTTGACGATTAAATGGAAAGTTATAAGACTTAAACAGCCGTAGCATAGTGTTGTAAGAACCCCACGTGTCATGTGAAATCAGCAGATCCTTGTTGCCAGGCAACAGCTTGACAAGTGCGGAGCATGACCCTGTGCCAAAACTTTTACTCAGAGTTTTCCTACCGAGAGCTTGTTCCAAACCATCTAAGTCACCAGCGACTTGCATCAAGCTGTAAGGGAATGAAGAAAAAAGAAAACAGTAAACAAACATCGAATTTGGCGACTAAAATGGATGAAACGGTAAATTTGGCTGATTTCCGGTGTTAGCCTGAATGGGTTTGTGAATGGTCTAATGTCCAGGCTCCTCAGGATAGAGCGTTCCTTAGTTGTATAATACCAGCAAACCGAGGAAGACTAGTTCTTACAATACAGCCTCTCAAAGAAATAGACTATGAATAGGAACCAATAGAGTGGCAGCCTATGATGGCATTAGCATCCCTTTTAGGTGAAGTTACCACGCTCTTTTTAGACTTTTTAAGTCACTTCTTGGTACAGAACCAGAATGAATGTGATGAATCAACTGCATTATAATGACTTTTTCGTACAACTCAAGACAAGCACATGAATCTAATGACACACAATACATCCAAGGTTTGCTGAGCTTATTTTCCTACGACACTACACTAAACAGGTCTTACAGGAATCCAAAATCAGGAATGACAGCTCCTTCAGCTTTACTTTTGTTTTCTCTGTATCCTTCTTTCAGACCCTCAAGCTGCTCAAGAACAAGTTCAACCTCGAAAAAAGAGAACAATAATAATTAAAATAATACGAACATTATACACGCATTTTGATTAGTTCTCAACTATGTTCTTTTGCAAGACAGATGCATAAATTGCGCCACCACTACCAATTTTTTGCCTATCTGTTGTATAAAGAAGATAGATTTTATGTTACCATGGGCCTATTCAGTAATGACTCGTAGACGTCAAAAAGTGGTAAGAACATCAGTGACGCACTCGGCTGTAAAAGTGTCATTCATTGTTCTTACCACATATTGACATCGTCTATAATAATAATAATAATCCAGGGAGCTCACATCACCAAAGGTGTTATTCAGTGAGGCCCTGCCAAAAAAAAGAAAAATGTTAAATAAATAATAAAAAATACAATATTAAAATGTTCAATAAAATTACATTATAAAATGAGTTAAAAAATTGCTTAAAAATTAAAAGTGACCTCATGGCACGTATTGACTTGTCAAGACTGTTCCATTCTCCCAGTCCTTGATATAAAAGGCGCTGTTTTCCATAATTGCGCCTAACTCGCGGTAAGTAAAAATTGGATTTGCCACGAGTATTATAAGAATGGATGTCACTGATTAGCTTTGTATCAAACTTAAAATCTATAATTCCATTTACATATTTATAAACGAAGACACAGCGGTGAAATAACCTAAGTTTAAAAAGTGTTGGCCAACAAAGTTCTTATAAAGCCTCTAAAGAAGAGGTCTATTATTGAACAGAAGGCCGCAACACAGAATCTATTGGTGAAATAAAACACGGAGATAAAGGAAACTCTCAGGCACTATTATTGGCATTTCCATTGTTACAGTATTTTCGAATGTTGTGTTTTTTTTGATATGAAGATTTTCGTCACTAATACATTGGCTGCCTCGCTCCATTTGTCTGTTAAGAGAGATTGATATGTCAGTGAAAGATCGATGTAAGGCAACTATGTACTCCTCCTTGATCAATCAATGTTGAAGATGATTAGCAGTCAGTTAGTGAAGTTCATTTTTTATACTTAATCATTTGTGACGAAGAAAGGAAGATGGGCAGTGTAAAGCTACAGTCCTTAACAAAGATCTTTAGTCAAGGGGAGATTTGCATACGCCCTAAAAATGATTTCAAATATGAAATTTGTAAAGTTTACCATTTCGTCCTCTAGTTTTCTTTCGTTCCTGCTTCCTCCCC